TTTTCTGCTTTTGTAAAATTCAAGAGAAGTCAAAAATGTAAATAGAGTATTACATTTGTCTCGTAGTATTTTTGTTGAATGGCTGGCAAAATGATAGGACGGTTCAATCAGGTGCACCTGAAAGATTAGTCCACCAAGATTAGGAAATATCTACTGTATATTGTAAGTCAACTTCTCATACCCCAAATCAGTGCATTAAAGAAGAGCAGGAATCAGATCCTATGCTATTGTCCCCAGAATATGCATGGCCGATCTAGGATGACTCTGACGAACGAAACCTGGTTGCTTAGTCATTTATATTCTAAGCCACGTCATGGATTTTGCCTCTTGAAGAGCTAAGCTAAATGTTTTTTCATTCTTAACCTCGTATTTCTTTCTTTACTCGTTGGTGTTAGTCTGCTCCAAAAAAGTTTTTATATCCTACGCAATCAAAGTGACTCAAAGAGTTGTAATTTAGTTCTTAACATTCTGTTGCATTAACTAGCTTGTAGGTTCAAGTGCCTTTACTTTTACTGAGTCACTTCAACAAAATTAACTAATCAAATTGTTGGAAGCGAACCGGACAGTGACTCCAGCTAAATCTGTCAACTGTGCCAATCAGTGTTTGAGATCAAGGCAAGGAAAGATGGCAGAGAATTTAGTTGAAACTCATTTCAGGTTTCCTGTAATCGAGTTGCTGAGTTTTGAGGGAGTGATTCTGGTAACAGTAACCGCAGTGTAATTTGTTTTGTTACAGAAAGCGCCATCCTTTTTGTAGTGACGAGGAAGAAATATTCTGTACTAAGTCAAAACGGTAATAAAACTCTCAAATATGATTGATCATCAGTGGCCTCATTTGTGCCCTCATCGTCATCATTTACATTATTCTAGCCTATGAACAGGCCCTTATTATCTGGGCTTCGGCAAGAGTGATTCTTCGCCCGCAGGAAAATATGAATACTAAGCAATGCGAGCTGGCGAAAGGTCCGACAAGGGGTCTGGTACTCATATTAGTGCCAAACCCTTGTAAATCCTCTCCCTTACTCGTCTCAAATCCTCCCGCGGGCGGAGAAATGCGCGTCCCGCAGCGCCAATAATATGCGCCTGCTCGTGGGGAATATCGCCATACTCGCGCGATTATCGAGTCGGACTCCCGCAAAGCGGTGGTTCGATTTTTTTAATCTTTCGTATGATTACAAGCCGAATTGGACTCCACTTGGTGCCATTTCGACCATTTATTTGTCTATTACGACAGCTGAGGAAGACCACCAACAAATAAATTTTTAGAACTAAAAATTATTTCAATTTGTCGTCGTCTGATTGGTGGATGAGTAGAGAAAGATGTTTGCAAAATTACTAATGTTTGAAATTTGTGGCAAAGTTGACAATTTCAATACGTCAACCGATCTCAGGGTTTTGATCAAAATCAATAGCACAAGCATAACAAGGTTGATATATTTTTGAATTTACATTTTGAGAGCGCGATTTGATATCAAGCTATGGCTTGCGAAGATCTGTCGCTGACTTTTGTCAGAGCCCTAGGTGCAATATGCTGGACTTCTGGATTATTAGCTATTGCAGAAAATCTGACCGTTATTTTAGCAGTGCGATACATTCGCTCATTGCGACCTACAGCCCGATTTTTTATGGCATCTCTCGCTGCGGCAGAACTTCTCTCAGGGATCATAGCTAATCTGTACTTCGTTCGAAATTATGGAAGAAGCGAAAATACCTTCGTGAAAATGGAAACTACTGTATGGTTTTTCACCACAACTTCCGTAACTTATAGTTTGAGTAACGTAGCAGTGGATAGATTCGTTGCAATTACGTCGCCTTTACATTATCATGACAGAATGACTTTGAAAAGATGCTTACTAATGACAGCATTTCCATGGTTTCTTGCTTTCATGGGTGTGTTCACAGCTCACTTTATTCCTTTCAAACACGCAGCAAAAATCTGGATGTGTGGAGGTATCATTTCTGTGTTGATACCATTTTGCATAATAGCTTTCTGTTATTTCAAAATATACAAAGTAACAAGAAGTACATTTCCTGCGCGTGAAAACATCACAAATGCTCAACAAATGGCAGAAAATAGACGACAAAGAAAGACGGCATGCACATTTGGGATCATCACAGGATTATTCATTGCTCTCTTCATGCCGAGTTTTCTCATCAGCATGTTCCCTCTAGCCACCGATGTTGAAATCGCAAGAGTGAAATGCGACGGTTTTGAAAGAAAAATTTGGCTCAGTGTTTCTGTTATCTCATACTTCAGTGCTGTTATTGATCCGTGGGTTTATGTCATCAGAATGCCAGACTTTAGAAGTGCTTTGAAGGAAATGTGTCAACGAATACGTCGTATTCTGTCTCTTTCTTTAAACGACAGTCAATAAAAGACTCTTCAGAGACCCTTTGGGATGAATAAAAGAAAACGACCTTGGCTACTGGGTTGGTTTGAGGATGTGATTTTTTTCAACAAATGGGTAGTTTTTCGACCCTATCCAAGAATCAATATACGACCACCAGACGAGTTAAGATGAATCAGAAACGGTCTTTACTAAGTAACATGCAACTTCGGGACTATTATACCATACAAACGAAAGGAAATGAGCGTTAACGAAAAAAAAAACAAGGTCATCCACAGGCGAATATGTAGCGATTTAAGCGGTTTTGTAGCGTTATCCGCTTTCCAAACGAGGACCTGGGGCTTGTTTCTCTTATGTTCCGGTAGTTGCCGATCCCGAAAGGCTTCCGATTTCTTGTCTGTCGTCTTTTACAAACAATATCAAGATACGAATAGCTTTGAAACACAATCCTTGAAAATGTCAGGAAACGAAACAAGATGAAGTGATCTTTTTTAGCAAAGGCCCCTACTTCTCTTCCCTACATTTAGGTTTGGAAGCGGGTTTTTAGTGTTAGCAGAAGGTTGTATGCTTCTGGTGTTTGAGAATACCGCTCAAAATGTCAGTAGCTTTGTAAAAATATAGAAGGGATGCCCACAGCCTGGAGACAAAATGAAAAAACATAACTCCTTATTGTAAAGTGTGTCTTACAAGATCTATAATTAATTTGAAGCAATGAATATCTTTCAAAGATCGTTGTTAAGAAATATTTGGAGCTGGACAAGGCTATTCCTATTTTAGGTTGAGGCATCATCACCCACTCTTAAATCTAGGAAAATAATTCTCATATGAACCCTAAAGAAACAAATCGTTTATGGGTTTTTGTGCTCTTGACAAAGTCAAATGAGAAACGCTGCTTTTTTGATTGCGCAGATAATGATCGACTATGTTTCACTCCCAGCTGTACACTTATTGATTTTGGAGTAGGTAGACTACTACCTAAAGCTGTCATGGTGAGCTACTGAAGTGTTTTCTTATCCGGACCAATGAAGTGGCAGCAAATCCAGATTGCCTAATTACATTGTAGGAAGAAATCATTTTAATCACTTTCGCGATAATTGATTTGGGTTGTGACTTAACCTGTTTTAAAAATTCATGCGTGGCTTTGAGGGACGAAAGTTGATTATTTATTCGGCTAGAGTGAAACACAAATGTGCTGCGTTGCTTTCCAGCGTACGCTAAAGATGCCGTTTTGTTTTCGAAGAATCAGGTTGTATTTCAATCTGAATTTTTTCAGGTAACTATTTCAAACACCACTCTGATCAATAAGACAGAATGACAGTAACTTTCCGTCTTATAATGTGTGCAAATAGAGCGCTTTATAATATGCGTCATGCTAACATAGCAAGATTAAAAGGTTTCATGGCCAGCTTAATGCCAAGGAGGAGATTTGGAAGCGAAATAATGAGCATGCATGAGACACAATGAGACCTGACGCCGGCGTAATAACCCACTCGGGATGTTTGGAGAACACTCGAAAAGTTTGTAAATCAGGAGCCGGAGGCGAGTGATTTATAACATGGTATATCTCTATACACTATCCGTGAATCATTGAAGACTTAATATGATGACGAAAATTCGTTAAAAAAATGTTAGTGTGAGGGATTTATCTCAATAAATGGTCTCAATGGGTTGATGGCTTTCACTGACGGCTAATGGTTAAAATGTTGGCCATTTCACGGTCAATGGGTGATATCATTCCGTTGTCACCAGAATTTTTTTACGGTGAACTTTTTTTACGACTTTCGGTTAAAATGTCTATTTTTACGCTTAATGGCTAATTTTTTGGTTTTTGACAGTTTCAACGGCTATCGGTTAACCTCATCGAGACTCTGTCAATGCAATTCCAAAATTTTCTTGACGAACACATATGGAGATGTACAGCAGCTAACTGGAAGGACGATTACAGATCAGATCTTGGGAGACTTTGAGTGTTGATAAGTATCCAAGAACGCACTTGAACGTTCGTTGACTCGAACGATTTCTCCAAATGGATATTTCTCTTTTTTTTCATCACCTTTCTGCTTAACTCTTCGACTCCTAGGAGTGACTGGCATCTAATTTCTCCCTAAAATATTACCTCTGAATCAAACATTCAGGTAACGAGAATAAAGGGAATGGTCACCAACTAATAAAGCTCTTGATTGTTAGACAAGTTCTCCTTGTCAGCTACATGGGAAACTTGTAGAGAACAGTATGGAGAATATGCATTTTTATGTAAGGGTGAAAAGGGTTAAAATGTTTTGATACGGTGAGGAAAAAATATCTCTTTGGTCACTCCCGAGAGGCTCAAATGTGACTTAGTCAAATAGTCAAAGGCAATAGAAAAGGGAGGAGGAAAGGGGTGCCGGGAGAGTGACCTTTGAAGGCTCTTAAAGCCAAAAAAAATCTGATGATCATTATAATATTAATAGTAAATGTTTAACAGAGGCGTAACCAGCTTTGCGATTTGTTGTAGGCCTCTTCTCTAAGGAAGAAATGTTTTTGTCAATATTTGCAAGTCATATTATAAAATTGAAAAGCAAATGGAAAAATTTGTAGGCCTGGGCCTACCAACCTGTAGTACTGTAAGAAGCTAGAGTACGACTCCCCAGTTGCATCAAAATGAATCACACATCCATACTCATGTTTGATTTATTCTGTAACTATTCTTTTACAGCTGACAACAGGAAATAACTTATCACTCAATTTGCAACACATCAAGCAACACATTTTTGAACACAATATTTAAAATCCTGACTGCCTCATGATTAAAATTAGACAGCTACCCTAAATTTTACTCTAGCATACACTGTATGAATGAAACAATTCTCGCATTCTCATCACATGATAGCACTCCAAAAGTATACTCCTAACCAGCTTTGCTGACGGGTTTACAAAGGTGGATGTTCCTTAAATATTGATCAAATACAATGTAAATGACAGAAAATTAATAACTATTTGGAAAGACATACTCATTCACATTCGTTTGAATTTGACCCATGTTAACATGGTTAAATAGGACATGTGTATTACATATTCTGTTAAACATAAGATTGTGTGACATCATAGGTAATTAAATACAAAACAGTTTTGTTCACCAACTGCCACAATGCAGAATTAAATATCATCCATTAAAAAGATATGATATCTGTATTGTAAAAGAAAAACACTGAGTACAGTGTTTTTAAAATAACAGACTTCCTTGACTGATACCAAGATGTATAAAAAAGTTTGAAAAATATAATTGGTTATTACTTGAGCAGTTGTACAATGATTACTGATGTGCTGTATGACAAAATAGAACACATGTAATTTATCAAAAATATATCCTCAAGTTGATTGAAAGAAATCAAAGTTAAAAGTCAATATAAAATAACTACTAAATTGCCACAAAGTACTCCATAGTAAGAGTAAAATCAGCAAAAAGAAAAATTTTTAGGCACAACTTTTCCTTAACACCACAACACTAGTAATACTTGCCGCATGCTTTTCCTGGCTTGAATTTTGCAAACTAGAACAAAATACATTTTCACCAAAAAGTTAATCATTAAGTTATATCAATTATTGATGACAAGAATTACAATAATTACTATTTTCCTGTGAGGGCAAATTTTGCATTCTTGACCCCAACAAGAATAACCCAAAGAGGAACACAGAGTTCTGTTTGGCACAAGAGAAAACATACACAGTTAACCAGGGCTTGAATCAAAAGTAACATATTAATTAATGTACAAAAATATTACATCAAAGTTGTTATAATGATTATTGATAACAAGCCGTTCAGATCTGACTGGACAGTTAAAAAATACATATAAAGAAAAAAAACTGTTACTTGATGGGGAAATGCCGGAAATTATATTGACTGGTGTTTCACTTCTGTAAATTGCACCCAAAATAACATGATCTCACCATGTTATATGGCTAGCCCTATCTGTCTCTGAGTATGTATACCTGCATTGTTTTCATTCATTTGTTATTATTAAAACAACCAAGATACTACAATTTTGGACATTTCCATGAAGCAGAGGGGAAATTTAAAACCCTAACTATTGAAACAAAACTGAGACCACTTTAAAAATCAGCATAGTATATATCACTTGTAGGTCAGCTGGATTGTTTACAACAATAAAGACACTAGCACACTCAAGCCCAAAAGGACAAAAGAAAACAGAAGATGACACCCATCACAAGTCTTTGGAGATTCATCTACACTCCTGTCTGGTGTATGACACCCATAACAAGTCTTTGGAGATTCATCTACACTCCTGTCTGGTGTATGGGTGTTGTCCTTTTTCCTAGGTCCTGGTGTAGTCTCAGTGTGAGTAAAGCTATCTTCACTGTACAAAGTTGAACTCCAGTTGTCTTCCACCTTTTCCACCCGTTTCCTCAGTAGCCAGGTACTTTCAATGATCTCTGTTTTATTTTCACCACAAATGTGGCACTGTCCCACCCATCCAGTGACAGAACTACCATTGTTCCATACCACAAAGAAGGAAAATGTGCTGTTTGAGCTACCAAGCTGTCCAATTCCAAACACCTTAGAATGGCTGTTACCTGCTGCACCTGTTTCTCTCTCAACAGCTGTGCGATATTCCCCTTCAATTACATTATCTGCTCTCTGTTTGAGAATCATCTCAGAGCCCAGGGTGTTATACCAGTTTCCATTCAAATTACACAATTGGTTTTTGACATCAGGGCCAAAATTATGGATTATTTTATCAATTTTTGTTGGTACTTTTGTTTTTCCTTCATCAGGTTTCCGAGGACCAGAAAGCTGCTCATATCTGGTGAATGTGTCACGACCAATCATAGTTGATTTCCACTTGTCTATACAGGTATTGACACTGGAACGTAGTAGCCATGATGTGAGGAGAGTCTCCTGGCCATCCTCACGGACTAAACATTGACCAGTCCACACTGTTGTTGAGATGCCAGTTTGCCAGACAACTGAAAAAGCAAAGGCTGCACCAGGGAAGTTATATGGTGCAGAACCTATGACAATAAAAGAGAAAATATTAACCTTACTTTCCATACACCTAAAACCAATCATGCTTTATTTCCTATAACAGAAATGGTATTTGATATCATTCACAGTGATCTAATAAACATTGGAAAGTAACAGAGGTATGTATCTTGGTTTTCGTGTCTTTGGATTTCCTACAATTTTAAGTTTAAATAATTTGGCAGTAGCTTCCTAGGAAAAAAAACAAAACAAAACAAAAAACAATCATCCCTGCCATATTTTATTGGCCAAACAGACATGAGTAGTAGGCAAGTCATTTTCTGTCATCTTTCTTTGGAAAGACAAACATTTACCAAAATACAAAACTGAGTATGATTGGAACCCACCAAACTAATTTGGAGAGTTTGTACCTGCACTTCTCAGTCCTATGTCAATTAGAAAAATACTGTCCTTTTTATCTCTTTATTGATCTAAACAATGATGTAGAATTTGGGAAGACAACATTTCAAGAATTCTACCAACATCACAAAGTGGAGGTTACAATGTTTTTCTTCAGTAAATGAATAGAAAGGGGGGTATAGTCAGTTGCAGGTGCAGTAAGTTTAAACCAAGTACAACTGTAAAGCTTACTGACTAATGAACAAAATGTACAAATATTATCTGGTAAAACAAAATAAAACAAAGAACACCAAAATTCATTTATAAAATAATTTCAACTGAGCAAAACTCTCCAAGATATCATTCCAAACTGAAATAAGACCTAAATTAATCAATCATTGGTGACAGCCTTACACAGGATAGGCAGGTACTTTTTTTTTTTCTGTAGGGTGCCTATGGGTTATGGCATTCATGGGATGTTTCATGACAAATTTGGATATCAAGGCTTCTTTACCTCAATTGGTACATTTTCATTTAAAAAACTGAAATAACAAGGCATACATTCATTACATGTATGTGTGCTGCTCTCATTATTTATACCAATAAGTAATTATTTGACTGCCTTGTCACAATTTTATTATTATTTCACTTAAAAGCTTGATTTGTTTTTATTGTTTTTGCTTCTAATGTAATCTCTTTCATTTATGTCAAATTATGTGTATAGAGACTTTTATACAATACATTCAATAGATAAAAATTGATAACAGTAATGACATAAACCTGCAAGTAGTCTACATGTATACACAAACCAAACTCAATTAAATACATTATAAAAAAAAAAAAAAACATTTTACACATGGTTTTATGGGTTTTTTTTTTAATTCAAGGGATGAACATTTTTACACACTTGTGAAATTCACTCTGAGGTGGACTAGCGTCAAACAACAGATGAATATGCATTTTTAAGTGACACAAAAAGTATGTGAAGATATTGAGCAAAATAAAATTACTAGGAATAACAGAAAAAAAAATTTGCACATGGGTTTTCACATACATGTATGTTTCACAAGCATTTCACATGGTTAGTCTTTTTCTTTTCACTTTTGGCTTCTGACTTAACATGTGACTGGGGAGTGAATTGTTAATACATCACAAGGACTTATGAAGATCATATCTATGTTAATGAATCACACGTTATTAATAAATAACTTGATTATTTTCAAGACAAAGCAAAGAACAAGGATATCATGAAACAATGACCTGCAATTTTTCTAAAATATCGAGATTCAAAATTAGAAGCTACTTAATTTTAAATATAACAAAAATTAGCACTTTCATTCTGTATAAAACAATAGTTAGATGCCCCATAGTGTTATTCACTGGAAATATTTCCTTCTAACCCCTACCCCCAGACTACTCTAAAACAAAGATGTGGTCCTAAAGGTAATCTATTGTTTTGCAATTCATTGTCTTCTTTTATACAAGCCCTGTGTGCATAATGAAGTATGGGATTTTACAGAAATCTTGCCAAATCATTTTGACTTCACTTGATTTCCTCACAAATTGCTCTCTGGGAAACATTCAAACGACGATTTATCACATATATTGCATCTAAACATTTGAAACAAATGTGCCTGAAGCATGTTTGTCGTGTATGGACATGACCAGAATTTTGCCTTAATAAGAAGTAAAGAAAGCCTGTCCGGATGAAAGTTAAATAAGAAAAAAAAACAAAGATTATAAAATTTTCATAATTCAATCAGTCTTGTGCCCCAAAGAGCTATCGTCTTGACTCATTTCTAGACGAACTTTGCACCTGATCAATCATGTGAAACGGACGCGGAATGTTACGCCATACATTCAGCTTATCATGAGTGTGAATAACCACATTGTTGAACTTACTAAGAAATAGTGTTTAATATATATGTAAATAATCAACTTAATCTTGTCGAGAAGTACATAAATATATTTTTAGAGCATCTTCTGGGAAAGCAAACGCCATGTCGAAATATTGCACATAAACTCACCCTAGCGTACACATCAATACCTCTCAATCAAAATGCGAGGAGTACTTTACCTAACACAATAGAGTGATCCACTCCGGCAGAGCCATTGCGTCTCTCAACCGCAGTTCTGTACTCCCCATAGAGGATACCATTGGTATCATGCTCTAGGTAAACTTCTGAGCCCAGTTGATTGTACCACTTGCCTTCGAGAGTTTTACACTTCTCTCCATCTACGAGGCACACAAAAGCAATAGCTGAAAATACAAAGTAAAGTAAACGAGAAGAGGCACTATAAGCCATGATGTCACTAGCGCTCGAGTAACGTGTATGAGTACTCAAATGCACGTGGAACTATTTATTGTTTATTTTTAGTCACCAGGATTGCTCGTGTCAGCCTGTCTGCGCCTGACGGATATTAAGAGGTTTCAGAATTTAATCATCATTAATAGTGCTGATAAGTTGATGATTTATGGGTTTATGAACAAAAACAGGATTTAAATAAACAAGATATGATGTGATAAGGCTTGAACTTAGAAAGAGGATTCTATGCGATAAATAGGGATGCCTATTCATGTTAACCAGGTCTGCTCGTAGCCACTTGACCCATTCACCATATTGAATTTTCCGCCCAAAGCCTGCTGGGAAGTTCCTCGCTGATTTTCAACATGCCGGCTGCTAGTGGTTCGTATTCTTCTACAAAAGAAGACCCCAGAAGGCCTAATAAGATCTTCCGCTACAAGCCAGTGACTATAAAACCTACAGATGATCCGACAGCAGAGTATATGAACATTCTAGGGATGATATTCAGTATGTGTGGGCTTCTGATGAAGGTATGACTAATCACGATAACATGGATCTCTCGACTCCAGATATCGTTGTGCTTACGTTGAAACTCGCACACACATCTCTTAGTTGATAGATTTTTAGGTACGCGAACCATACTCATAGAAAAAAAATAAACCGTGGACATATGTGAATTATGCAGTTTTTGTAAAACAGAAGATCGTATTGTTTATGCTGTGGCAAATATCCTTTCATGGCTCTTCTTCGCTTTTTTGTTGGTTGGTTGGCTAATATGAATTGTTTCATCTTTAAAACCGGCTGGCTGGCTAAGCAAAATGCAGAATGAAAGCACCACCGAATTTTTAATTGTCCTTGATGAGCTGTATTCTCAATCCTTGATAAGTACTGATGAAAAATGCACCGTGCAGACACATCAGGTGTTTACAATTGCTAAAATTGGAAATCCCCTGCGAAGATCTTTCTTTGCTTGACATTAGTTGTCCTCACTAAATCAGTTTGAAGGTAGTAAATATATGTGATTCAGTTTTTTTTAATTAGACTTGTTAACATACAGTGAAGATAAGCAATATGTAAAGTCATCCATCAAATAAACCTGATTTTCACTATGAATAAACAGATTGGATGTTTTTGATATTTGCTTCTTGGTCATAAGAGGTACTATTGCCAAGAATCTTAAAAGTGACAAGTACACAAAATCTGTAAGCTTTGTGCTAGATGGCTTCACCAGGGCTCGCAAACCTCTTGCGACGTTGTAAGTTTTACTGCCTATTGAGGTCAGGAATGTGGCCACAATCTCCTTGTCTTCTTTGATTTCATTCACAATCATGTATTGATCGAAAGGTTTGCAGTATATGTTCCAGTCTTCTGAACTAGGGTTGAAGACTTTAATTGTTCCAAGAGTGGCCATCCTTGTCGCCAGTTGTTGTGTATTAGGGTTTAATACACTACTATTACTAGAGTAATGCGTAAATCAGACCATGCGCTCCACACAAACATTTTATTAGAATACCTTGAACTCGATTACATACAATGATATGTGACCATAATCACGTGACTATGATCTAGGGTGTACCAACAAATAGAATACAGCTGAGGTAATTAACCAAATAGGAACAAACACTACAAAAGTAAGTTGCCTTGTGTCTAATTTCATCTCCTCGTATAATTTCAGCTGGTCTGCAAAATAGTTATTTTTAATAATGCTGGGACAAAAAGAAGAAAGTGTCTATAAAGTCTAATTTTTGCCAGCCCTTGTTACTGAATTTTTACATTTAAAGATTATATCTTTGCTTATTTCTCAGCTCAAATGGGCAGCTTGGGCAGCCGTGTACTGTTCATTCATAATGTTTTCCAACTCACGCTCATCAGAAGATACCAAGCAGATGTTTAGCAGTTTCTTGTGAGTAGTCATTACTGTACAACATACTTGGCAATTTATAAGAAGCAATATTAACGTTCGAAATGGATTTGAACAATAGTTATAGGCTTTTACCTCTAAAAACCATTTAATTTCCAAAGTTTCCAACTTATCATCTACATACCAAAAGCACTGTACAATTTATTTCATAAATCATGTCTTTTAAGTTCAGGCACAAGTAACACATAACTGCAAAATATCTCCAAAATATGAGTTCAAGCCTGTGGATGCCAAGATAATTTTTCAGCTCTTGCTTTCAGAAAATTCAACTGATTGCAGTTACTGTTGAAGAGCAAATATTCACTCAATTCTTTTGGAGATATCCACTCCAAGCATTATATCAATTTATAAATCAATTGAGACACAGTACATGCTCTTATGATAGATGAAAATATGTAAAGAGGGTTGCAGTGTTGATTTGTGCTTATTTTTGAGAAACATTTTGCAAAGGCATCTTATTTAAACACTCATTGGCAGCAGGGGAGGCGGATGGAGGTGGGAAGAGGGTTTGAAGTTGGAAGACCTCTCAAAAGTTTTTAAACCCTCTATTAGATCTTGAGTTCTTAACTGTCTTCTGTGTCATGAATTCTTCCACCCCTCATGTTTAGCTGAGGCTCTGTAAACATGGAAGTCCTTTGTTGGTCAATTGTTGCTTTTAATATGTACATGTACTGTAAATTATTTAAAGACATTTTGGGAAACCATCATTGGAGGAGTAGTAAGAAGACTCAAATTATTAGATAACTGGACATTAAATGCATTCCTATGTTTAATTTTGTTTTCAGATTATCCGTATCAGCTGTTGTGATGTCATATCTTCAAAATCCTCAACCAATGGCTTCAACATGGTAGCAGAGAAATCACTGTTTTCTTTAACCCTTTAACTCCCATAAATGATCAAGAGGGAATTTCTCCTTACAGTGTCAATTCAATATAAAGCAGACAAGGGATGACAGTAAAGAAGAATAGCGATTAGGAGATTTTTGGTTGATCCAATACCAAATTCTCCAAACTAACATCATAAGAATTGTATGGCAGATTGTAAGGAAAGTAATTGATGAGATCTCAGGAGTGAAAGGGTTAACTCATCCATTGGAGCTGACAGCCAGTGTTTTAGCTGCATTCAGATCAGGAATGACGTAATTGTCATATCTAAACAGTGAGCTATAGATATTTAAATACAAGTGTTACCCCAGAAAACATATAATTAGTAATGTGATAGGACCCATAACATGTACATTAAGTTGGTATGTTCATGACATCTGTTCCTTAAATGGTCAAGAATAAAGTACTGTTAATTTTAGGTCTGTGCACTGCAAAATTCTTGAGGAAATCCCTATCTTTTTCCCTTCAGTTCTTCTGTTAACCCTTTAATGCCCAGACATGATTAACATGTAACTTCTCCTTCTAATATCCATACCTTATTAAGCAAACAGGTAATGAGAATACACAAACTTATCAAAGACAAGTTACATTGATCTTACTCAAAATTCTTATAAATAATATTGATATTAGTAATTAGCACCCAGTTGTTCAAAGGCTGGTTAACACTAACCCAGGGTTAAATTTTAATCCTGGTTTCTTTATCCTTTTGTTCAAAAGCCTTTCTGGCGTAATTTTCTTTATTCTTTGAAGGGCATTTCAACATCAAATTGTAGATGAAAAGAATTGGACTAAATTTTCTTATATGGACTTTGAATCTCAAATCAGATTTCACACTAACCCTGGGTTATCTTAATCCAGCTTTGAACATCCCGGTCCAGATCTCAAGAGTTAGAGGGTTAAGGTGACATCCAGATAAGGAAGTGGGGTGTAGGATGTTGTAGATGATATTGAATTCTTAGAAGGTTAGCTCCTTAGTCCAGCAGTTTCTTTGAAGAGAGAGGTATTTCATTCTATTGTCAATAAATTTATTTTCAGAAACGTAACATGATTTTCTCTTTCCACATTGCATGTACTTGAAAAGAATATTGTTGCTCTTAAAGGTCTAGCATACGTTTTAGAATAAATATTTCATTTCTTTTTTGTTTTTGTCTGAATAACTGGTCGCAGTAGTAATGATTTACATCTACAATAATACTCATAACAAAATAATTTTTAAACGATTTTAATATCTTAGCAACGAAAAAGGTAATTTTGTCATTCAAACATTGAATACATTTGTTTTAATTTTGTTTTGTTCCTTTTCGAAATGGCCTTTTTCTGAACTGTGATTTCTTTGTCCAAATCTGTTGCTAAGTTTATAATACATGAAATCACAATTACTGTAGTATCCACATACTAATAGCTATAAGAAAGAGAAAGAACAAAATACTCAATTACTTTAACTCCGTCTCACCCAAGTAGTATTCATTTCTCCATCTAATCTGGGTTTTTTTCTTTCTTTTTTTTCCAGCCATTTACCCCTTCATAACAAACCATTTCAACCGACCACTGACTCTCCCAGAGTTTGGATAAAAAATCTGAAAAGCAAGACTCTTTTTTTTGTTTGCCTGTATTAACAAAAGATAACAATGGAAGCAGAGATTTACTCACCTTAAAAAAATTAACTTATTATTTTCCTGACTGATATATGACATTATTAAACAAGTAAATTGGCTGATAATTTCTGAATTGCGGTGTTTTAATGAAATTGTAACCCAGTAAATCAGTCCGTCTTGCTACAACCGGTAATAAAGTCGATGTAAAGGAGTAGAATTTACTTCTTGGTTGCTTAATATTTGAACACTGACTATGAAACACTTCAATTTGGAAAATAAGAGTATTGTAAACAATTCGCCTCTTCTGTCGACCTTTATCAAATCTTGAATAAAAGAAATAATTTACTATCAGGCGAATTTCACCAGTTGGAAGTATCATTTTGTTTTGGAAAAATTGTTACAAAAGCTCTGCCGTCACGGGGAATGGCAATAACTGGAACATTTGAAAATATCATAATCTCTAATAAATTCGTCTCTTTCAAACTTCGAATTAGTCTCTAAAATTGATTTAATGCGTGGCTTTATTTCAGAGTAACAAAATAACGAAAGCGAATATGTATAATGGATGAATCAAAAGACGTGCTGGTTTCTTTGTTAAATTGAAATTCCGGTTGCAACCAGGGTG